TTTTTTTTTTTTTTTTTTTTGGCAAGACTAAACTTTGTGTCTTTAAAGTGTTTTTTATTGCCTTTCATGGTACCTGTTTTCAGGGTTACTTGTGAGAAGCTCTGACTGAGCCGGGGTACCTTGAGCCTGTTCTGTCCTGTCCTATCTTGAACAAAAGGAAATCATGATTTCCTTCGTAAGGAAACTGCAGAGTTCATGCTCAAATGTATTTTTCTGTGCCACTGAGACCAGATGCGAGGACTGGTTAGGAAAGTGTGCAGAGGTGCCTGGAGAATTTAACAGGCTTGTCAGTCCCTGTCTCTGGCATGTGCGCCTGAGGTGTGTGAACTAGTGTGATCTGCCCTCACCTGGTGCCAGGGGGCTCCTGGGACAGGGGCAGGCTCCCAGCCTCCCTTGCACAGTCCTCCTGCCCCCCTCCCCTCGCAGGGATCAGTGACCAGAAGGGTCTCAAGGCCGTGTCCAAGAAACCCTGTCTGGTCACCCCACCTTCAGGGACCCCATCAGTCTCTCCTTAAGTTTTAGAGACTTGCTCTCTTCTACTTATTTACCCTAACTTACGCCTCCTGTGTTGGTGACTTGGGATTTGCACTTGTGTCTGTGTGACTGTAACCTTGGTAAGGACGGGAACCACTCTGGGCCTCCGTCGGTCTCTCCGTCACCAGCATGGCCCCTCGTGTGTGCGCTGTTCCTTCGCACAGCACATCCTGGGTGCTCGTCACGGCCGCACCTGCTGCCGACCCCGCAGACAGGCGATGGTGGTGACACTCGTGCAGCCGTGTGCCTTCCCCGCACTGTGGTCCTCACTCCAGCCTGGGGCCCGCACACGGGTGCTGTGGGCATTGGCTGTTCCCGCGAAGCGTTCGTGCTCGGGCTGGATGAGTGGGGGATGGATGCAGAGGGATGCGGAGAGCGTGGGCATAAGGTCAGCACTTACCTCCACAGCCATCTCTGTGCCTGTGCCCGGTGATATCAGTAGCCTGGGTCCTGGCTCCGGTTTTGCCACATACTAGCTGTGTGTCCTCGACAGGGCCATTTTCCTGCCTTTTCTGTGGAATGAGAGGAGTTGAAGTTCATGATCTGTGTGGTGACCCTTTTAAATCCAAAGTTATGATCCTTAGAATAGAAGTTATTCCCTAGGAAGAGAAGGGTCCGCGATTTCACCCCCACCCCCACGGCTGGGCGGAGGCGACAGGCCAGCAGGAAGCGAGGCGGGTCGCTCAGCTCGGCACCTGCAGAAGCTCGGCGCGGGTGGGCAGCCGTGTCCTGGTCGCCCGCCTGCGTCGGGAGGGCGAGGCCGGGGGCCAGGGCCGGGCCCAGACGCACCTGCCCCGCTCTGTGGGCCCGCCCCTGTCCTCCCCTACACTCAGCCTCGGCAGCCGGGAGCTCTCTCCCGACTTTCTGCTTTTTGGCCATTTTTAGACTTTGGGTTCTCGCAGAAGCTACTTTCCCTTCGAGGGGAGTATAACTTGGGGTGTGGCGCAGGGTGGGTGGGGGTGGGGTAGAGGCTATCGGTTTTCCCTGCCCCTCGGTCCACTCCCTTCTCATTTTTATTTTCTCTTTAGTTTCCTGTCCACTTAAACAACAAAAACAAAAGCTACCAGAGCCGGGCTGGGTGGGGCCACTAGGACTGAAAAGCAGGAGTGGCTGTGTCCTGCTGCGTCCTCCACCCACACGGTGGCTGTTTGTCCTACGTGCCCCAGGCTTGGACCAGGGGGTGAAACAGCATTTTGTTCAGAAATTCCCTTCCCCTCAGAAGGCGACCAGCGGATTCCTCATGACTCTCCCCAGTGGTGGAGCGGAGAGGAAGGGCCATGGAACCAGAAACTCAGAGTCCCGTGTGTCCTCGGGCAGAGCCTGCAGTCACTGAGAAAGGGCCTCCCACGTGTCCCACACCCACACCCAGTTTGCGTCCTGCTAGTGGAGCCACAAGTAGCAGCTGTTCTCGTAACTTCTCCTCGAAAGCCTCCCAGCTGCCCTGGGGCTCATCTCGCCCACCCCAGCCTCTGTGTAGCCGGCCTCCGAGGAGAGGCGGCAGAAACGCACCCCGCCGCCCGCGCGGGTTCCCACTGGGGCCCCGAGTCCTAGGAACGGAATTCGCAACCACGTGCGTAAAATGCGCTTGTTTCCCTCCAGGCCTTCACCACCTTCCTGTGCCTGTACGGCATGGTCTGGTACGCGGAGCACTGTGGCCACCGAGGCAAGGTGAGGCGGGGGGCCGGGGCTGTGTTTCAAGCGGCCGCGTGGGCTCGGGGCGTCGGCCCGGAGCATGTTCGGGGGGCAGTGCCACGGGGCCGGTGCTGAGCTCTGGTCTCGGCCTCCCCACGTGGAGACTCAGCTCAGAGTTCAGTCCCTGCCCGTGCCTGTCCGTGCTTCTGACTGCCTTGTCAGTATATTTACCCTCCTCTTGTAAGGTTTGAAATTACGTATTTGCTTAAAAAAGTTGTGGGAACCGCCTTGGGCCACTCTCTGGAAGGCTGGCTCTGGTTCCCGCCCTCCCGCTTCCTCAGGCCGCTCCCTCCGCCCCAGCCTGGGGATTCGTCGGAAGAGGCCTGCCCTGCCCGCCTCCAGCAGACACGGGGACCCACTAGAATGGATGTGTCGGGCTTAAAACATGATAGTCTTGTCAACTGTAATTTTTTAAAGTAAAAATAACATCTTTCGCCCTTTATTTGTACCTTGAGTCCAAGGAACAAACGCTACTTTCTCCCAACGTTATTCTGCATCGCCTGGGGGACAGCCTTGGCTTCACAGCTGAGAAACATGAGCAGGAGGGGTCCTGTCCGGTGGTGGTGGTGGTGGTGGTGGTGACGGTGACCTGAGCCGGGAGGGGCGGGGGCAGAGCGTGTCACTGTTGGCCGGCCACCCCCTCCCAAGGAGCGCTCCAGAGTCCCTCACTAAGCCTGCTTCTCTTCCTAGACCTATTCAGAGTGTGAAGACGGCACCTACAGCCCAGATATTTCCTGGCCTCACGGGAAAGGCACAAAAGGTATCTCTTTTTTATTCATTGTCTAAAACTTGACTGGGTCCCGCCCTTCCCAAGGCCCAGCAAGGAGATTCAGAGTCAACATTTCTCCTCTGAATGTTGATAGACGTGTGCCCTGAAGGGTCTGAGGCTTACCCACCACATGCCCCCTGTTACTAAGAAACATGCAAACTGCTCTCAGCATCTGCCCGAGAAACTTGCTTAAGAAGAGGTGCCCGTAGCTCTCCCTTTTCCGAGGCCTGCATCTCCCAAGCATCCTGACAGGCGTGCTCTTCCTCTGGGCTTTTATCCTGAGTGGAAGGGTTTAGAAAGACTTGGGTGCCAGGAGGAAAAGCCAGTGGAAGAGGGATTTCCGTGGTGCAGTCGGGGACCTCCCGTTGGCCTCTCTCCAAGGAGCACTTTGGAAAGATTTGGGACCACGTTGTTATTGTAGAGAGTTAGGCCCGTGGAATAATGACGGAGGAGGCTCCTCTGGACAGCCTGTGTACCAGGCCCCCTGCACGAGCTCAGCTCTGGCGTTTCCCGGCCTCGCCTTAATTTATTAATGCGGCCACCAGGTGGCGCACAAGTATCAGTGGAAGAAAAGCCTGCCCTTGCCCCACAGGCCCAGGGCGGCTGGGCAGGGACAGCTGGAACCTGAGTGAGCCTGGGAACCCCACAGCTGACCGTGAGGGTGATGGCCTGTACCGATTCCTTTGGCCAGGTTCTGAAGACGGCACCCCCAAGCATCCGGGCAACAATGAAAGCCACTCTTCCAGGAGAAGAAATCGACATTCCAAGTCAAAAGTCACCAACGGAGTTGGAAAGAAATGAGAGACCCCGGTTAATCAGAGATGTTCCCGAGAGTGCCTAGAACTGAGGGAGCCGGAATCACTGAGCCTCCCTGCTAGGAGGTGACAACGTGCAGTGCACACGGGAAGAGGAGAGGGGACTTTGGGGGGGTCATTGTTTGAGGGTGTAAGTCTTGTTTCCCACAGACACGGCCACATCAGGCAGACCACCGCCTGGGGTGCCCTGCCGGTGTGGGGTCCCTTTAAAGCCAGCGCTGGCCTGCGGTCACCAGTAGCGACCAGTGTGCTCAAGGGGAAGGGAGCTGATTTTCTCACCGCTGCCAGCAGCAGCCTGCGCTTGGGAGCATTGTGGGTACAGGTTACACACCGCCATCCAGACGGGGCGGTGACCGTGCAGCTCGTGGACTGGTCACCAGGTGTTCTTACGAGTCCGCCTTCCCATCCAGTCGGTTTACATTCAGGCCACTTTTCTGTGTTTTATTTTGTTGTTAGTCGTTTTTAAGTTAAGATGCTTAAAAACCTTCCGAAGCCACTGCTGAAGTTGAACTGGGGAGGGCTCCCCTCTCTCCTAGAAAAAGAGAAGGGGGAGCTTTTTTGTTACTGTTTTGCAAACGTCATCCCCTTTTCAGAACCTGAGACCACGCAGCAGGCGTAAACCAGCCCGAGGAAGGGTTAGCTGCCTCCGCAGGACCTGGGCTTCAGCTCAGACCTGTTGTGTACCGTTCGGGCTCACTGCCCACACTCACCCGCGGTGCACAGCCACGGGCCTGCTCGAGGGCCGCGCGCTCCCCCCACAGCCAGGTGCCTTTACATCCTACCTGTTTCCTTCCGTGGCGTGTTGCTGACATTGTACTCCCAAGCGAGGTGCTGGTGAGTGTTACCTCCATCATCCATGCGCTAGAAAGTTTACCCGACAGCTCACCACCTCTGATGGCTCCTGTTCTAAATAAAACAATTCACGTGAAAGCTTGTCACAGATCTGTCTGCAAAATGCTCATTTCTCTGCATCCTATTGATATATTCCACTGTTTGTCAGCAATCGGTGTGTTTTTCAAGTGACCTCAGGGTAATACGGCTGTATGTGTTTTATATGGTAGGAAGAAAAAAGAAATACATGTGTTTCGGAGTGTGAAAGACACATAGGTGCCCCGTCCTAAACTTCCCAAGGGGTCAGTAGGAAATGAACGGTGCTGGTGTCGTTTTCCACTGCGCTAATGGTTGCATCGAGCCAGCGGGACTTTTTCCGCTAACAAGGGGCTGGTACCCAGCTGGTTGGCTTAGAGATACATATAAATGTCCTGAAGTTAATCCTTTTGTTCCCTCATTTCACGGAGCACAAAAGTGCCGATGTCCCTTTTTCCTTTAAGGAAATCTTTAACCGTGGAAGTGTAACGTTTCCTTTTTCTGCTAAAGAATTCCAGCGTGAAGGGGCTCAGTGAATCACGCAGGCCGGTCACACCCTGTGGTCTGGGCCTCTGGCGGCCACTGGGTTGAGAGCCTCACACAGACGTGCTGGGCGGTCACCAGCTGGTGCAGCGAGGACAGGGCCGCTGCTCTGAGCTGCCCCATGCTGTGCAAGCAGCAGCCCTGTCCTTGCCGTGGCAGCTCCGAGGAGAGGCCAAGAGCTGCTCGTCTCAGAAATGCACCGACTTTTATCCCCATCAGAGAGGCCTTCGGAAGACACAGGCACGGTGTAAACACTGTGCGACTTTGGCAGTAGGTGTGTTCGGTGTGTTTTCCCTGCATTCTGCTCTTCTGAGCACTGAGTGGTTCTGTGTCTCCTGCACACGCCTGCCTCACTCCTTCCCCGTGCCTGGGCCACTTCCATCGTTCTGCAGGTTCGTTTTCTGGGAGAGCCGGGCCCACCGCCTTAACGCTCCCCTAGTTAATCAGCCCCACCGGCGGAGCACCTGGTTAGCGTCGGGGGCCTTTGACTCCCTTCACGGGACATGCGAAAAGCAGACGTGCACGGGACCATTTTTCCTCCGTGGCTTTGTACGAAATGGCCAGGAAAGTCCTCAGATACTTTCCACGCCCTTTCCTGGAGTTTTAGACTCTTTTTTCCCCTTTCAGTAAGAACTCCTGACTGCTGCGGTTACAAAACCGGAGCGGCTCATGACTGGCCAGTCCCACAGCTGCTGTGCCTCCTAGAAACCGTACTGCTGGGCTTGGCCCACTTGCCCACCCGTTCCCATGGAAATGGACCTCATGTGGATGGAAATAGAACGCAGGTTTCAGAGACCTCATTTAATACTGGAAATTATTTGATTGCAAATTATCTCACGGTCGTCATCACAGACTGCCCTCCTCGAAGGCCGTTATTTTAGACGTAACACAGGAAGAATGTTTTATGTCTTTTCCTCCATACGCATCACTGGGAGTGTTAGATACTTTCCCCCCTTTGTCATTCCTGGTCTTCCCATGGCCTCTCCCTGCTCTTCTGCGTCTGTTTCCCATTTGTAAAAGCCTTGCCCAGGCTGCTCCCACTGCATTGACCCGTTAAGCGTCATGGTGATGAAAGACATCCTGTAAATGCCAGTCTTGTTTTCACTAGGACTTTCACTAGAATGGCTTCCACAGGGAGCGCCCGAGAACAGTCCTCATCCAGGAGAAATAAAGTGTGTGTGGGGGCCGGCGGGGTTCCTCCGAGCTGCCTGGCCGCCTGCCCCTCCACAGTCTCCCCAAGGCCTCCGATACCAATGTCCCTGCGTAGGGTGCGGCCCGTTTCTGGACGCTGAGTAAAGGGGACAAACCGCAGGAAGTAAGGTTTGTTTGCCTTTCAACGAAAAATAGAAAAATTTGAGACTGAAGACCCAAAATGTTGTGTTTTCGTGCCTGAAGTGTACATACAGTAGCCTTAATTACAGTGTGGGGTTGCAGGCAGGTATGTCCACAGTCCATATGGAGAGTGGACTGCACACTCCTGTTCCCACTCGCCCGGCTCCCGGCTGCTTTGGCCCATCCTTGCCAGTCCGACTGCGCACCGCCTGAGCAGGGTTCGGGTTTGGGTTTGGGTTAGGTGCCGCGTTTCACGGGTGCTACCTGGGAGAGGCTTAAAGAGCTCTAGCTTTCAGTGTTTAGATTCCCCCACCTTCTCTTAGAGTGGGGGGGATCCAGGCCAGGAGCAGAGGGATGAGTTGTTCACTGGGGTCACTGCTAACAACTCCAGATAAAAGCATTTGCAGCCCTGGGAACCTTCGAAAGGCCCCCGGATGGGGCTCTTGGGACCCTCTCTCCGTTTCGAATCTTCCTAGTGGCCAGATGAGCACTTGCCTGGCGTTGCTGGAGCGCCGATGCCAGAGCAGCATCTTCATCTCCAGGGGAGGGGGTGTCGTCCCTCACAGCCCCCTCCCACCTGAGTCCAGCACCGTGTGGTCTCGAATCCTGTGAATCTGGTGTGTGATCCCCATTTCTAGGGTCTTGAGGTTTACAAGTTAAGCACTTGCACAAGAGGACGCAGCCACAAGGGGGCACCGGGTCAGCTCAGCCCCGTGTTCCTCTGCTCCAGGCTCCTTGATTCCTGTAGGACCGCGATCTCCGCTCGCTGCCCCACCTCGCCCCCAGCCAGCCTCAGCCTCAGCCTATTAACGGGGATGAGCCTGGGAACGGCCACGCCTTTGTCTCCCTCCCTTTGGAAGGAGACTCCTGTGACTCAGATGCAGGTGGTCCCCTTAGGGTGGCCAAGCCTCCCAGCCGCTCCAGATGTTGGCCGGGTGTGATTTCGGCTGGCTGCTCAGGGGAAGGAACAACTGTGTCCACCTTTGGCGTCCCTCCTGCTCCCTTGAAGCGGGGTCCTGCCTCCCCCTGGGTTCTTCCCCGGGTGGTCCGATGCAGCCTGCAACCTGGAAGCCAGCGCCTCCTGCCTGCAGCAGCTCCCTCTGCCCTCGGGAACCTGATTTACGGCCCGGCGAGGCCGTAAACCTCTGCTCTTCGCCTCTGAAAAATAGCAAAGTATGGGAGAGAATGTAAATCATAAATCCCGAATTCCTATGGTCAGCAATAATGCCATGGCTGGGCGGTTGGCTTTTAAATACAGTGTGCATATGGCTTTAATTTCTGGGTTCTCTGACCCACCACCGTATTTCCAGGGGAGACAGATAACGGTGAAATGTCCCACCCAGATAGCGTTCTTCCGCAATGAGAATTAGCATTTTTCTGATGACTCACTGCCAAGTAGTTTGAAATGCCACGCTCCCCCGAGAGGGATGGGACAGTAGGTGACTGCAAGAACCCCCTAAAATATTACCTTTCTAGGAGGAGGTTTTCCTGTATATTTTTTAAATTCTCTTGTCCCTTTTATCAGTCACTAGCTGGGGACAGACTTGCTCTGCCGCCAGCAGTAAGGACAGCCCCGCGGTCATCCCGAGCACCAGCGGCGTGGGGTTGGGTTTGACCCCGGGCGGGTGGGCTCCGGCTCCAGGCGTGGGTTTCACCGGCCGGCAGAAGCGGCTCCTCGCTCTGCCCGGGCCTCCGCTCCCCGCACGAATTCCCGGTGCCGCCTCCGACCCCGGGAGCCAGCGCCTCCCCTGGCTGGGCTGGTGTCCAGCCTTTTCCCCTTTAAGCCCGACCTCGCCCAGTTCGAAATGATGGGTGAAAGCTGAACAAACACCCGGAGGCTCGGAGCTCCCGAGCTGCGCCAGAGCATCTATTAAAGTTGGTTGTGTTTTCCTTTGTGTGGCCGGCGGGTGTGCTGACAGTGGAGCGGTGTGTGTGAGAACACGGAGCTGGAAACCACGAACGTGTCCACCCACCGAAATATATAACCTCACAAGCACCTATTCACTCCTGCGCTCGCCCCGTGTCTCCCTGATGTTTTCTTTGGACCACGTTTGGTTCACAAGATGCCAGCCTCAGCAGGGGACGGGCCAGACCACCCAGAGGGCATGGGGGAGAGGGCTCAGGGACGTCCGAGCGGAGGTGACCTCAGCTGCAGGCCCATCCTTCCGTGTCACGCCTCTGCCGAAGGTTTCCGTGTACGCGCATCTGATCATTTCAGCAGCAAAGATAAGCTCAGAAGTGACTGCCACAGAACGTGTATACCTCGGAGCGGTGGTTACCATTATGTGTCGGCTTGACCAGGCTCAAGGATGCCCAGGCAGCTAGGAAGACGTTATGTCTGGGTGTGTCTGTGGGTGTCTTGGGAAGACAGCCTGTGAATCGGGAGACCGATGCCACGGGGTGGGCATCACCCAATCCGTCGACCTGAAGAGAACAAGGGTGGAGGGAGGGTGAGTTTGTTCTGTTCCTGCTGGAGCTGGGGCATCGACCTTCTCAGGCCCGCAGCACCTCTTGGCTCTCAGGCTTCAAACTCAGACTAGGACCGAACATCACCGGCCCCCCAACTCTCAGGCCTTTGGACTCAAACTGAACTCACCTGAGCCATCCTGGGTCTCCAGCTGCAGACAGTAGACTGGGAGTCTTGTCGGTCTCTCTAACTCTGTGAGCTAATTCCTATAACATCTCATATATAGGAACTGCGTGTGTGTGTGCATACAGTTGACCGTGTGTGTGTGTGCGTGCAGTTGACTCAAACAACATGAGTTTGAACTGCATAGGTCCACATGCACAGGATTTTTTCCAACAAATACTGTAAATGTATTTCCTCTTACAGTTTTTCTATTTTTCTCTTCTCTAGCTTACTTTGTTGGAAGAATATAGTAACAATACATAAAACATACACAATATGTGTTAATGGATTATGTTACCAGCAAGGCTTTTGGTCAACAGGCTATCAGGAGTTACGCTTTGGGGGGTTATACATGGATTTCCCACTGTGCAGGGAGTCAGCGCACCCCTAACCCCTGCATTTTGTACGTACGTGTATCCTATCGGTTCTGTTTCTGTGGAGAATCCTGAATCTTACAACCAGCTTTGTACTTGCACTAAGGTTTATAAGGTAAACTCAGAAAGGGAAATGACAAAGTTCTTGAGTAGGGACTGCTCCAAAATGTGATTGTTGGCCTGGAAATTAGCTTG